CCCGGCCCCGCACCCACCCCCTTCTCCTCCGCCTCTTCCTCTCCCACCCGGGGCCCTTCCTTCCGAGAGGCCGGGAAGTTAAACTCGTAACCTCTTCCCGTCACCCTCGCCCTCTGCGGGGCGAGCCGCCGCCGCGGGGAGAAGCAGTGGTTGGTGGCTTCGCTACCCCACCCCGCCCTGCCCGGATCGCGGCGGTTTGCAGGGATCTCGGAGTCGGCAGGGTTTTCTCCGCGGCCTCTGGCGAGTGGCTGATCTGCTCCGTTTTTGCAAAAAAAAGGCGCCTGTGTCTGGCAGAGCCGCTGGGAGGAGGAGGAGGAGGAGAAGGAGAAGAGACGATCCATCCTCGCCGCTGGGATAATCAAGAGTTTTCGGCCGGGCCTTTGAGTACACATCGGGATAGTGAGGAGCCCGGCGAAAAGCACAGACTATGGCGCTGAAACGGATTAATAAGGTAAGTTGTTGGGACTGACTAATCCGGACGGGGGGCCCTGGGAAGCCAGCCAGGCAGGCAGGCAGGCAGGCAGGCAGGCTCGGGCCCAGGGGGAAGTGTGGAGGTGGGGTGCGAGTGTAGTTTATGAGATGAGTTTCTTTAAGTTGGGGGAACTGAATGCTTTTGGCAAGCGAAATGTTAGACCGAATTTCTCACAAGAATTTGTAAATTAATGGGTGAGAGCGTGGCTTTCAGGCACCTCGGTTTTGTGCCTCACGAAGAGTTAGTCCGGTTTGGAAAGTGGAATTGTGTAGAAGCCCTCGGGCAGATGGCATAGTACTGCTTTCCTATTCCTGGTTCTTCAAAACTTATTTTAGGTGTACTATGCTTATAGGCCTTCTAGGAAGAAAAGGAAACATGAAAAAGAAAACATTTTATTCCGAACTTTACTGAGGGTCAAGATATTATAAACAAACCTCGATTTGCTAAAAGGTAGTGACGAAGTCTGTCCAGAAGCTTAACCCAATCTGGGCAGTTACACAAGACCAAGTGGGGTTGGGAGGAGGTGGACTGACACTGTTGCCACTTCCTGTGTTGTGTGGTCGCAGCTTGCACCCGAAGCTATTTATCTGAGGCACGGGAACTGATGTAAATGCCTTTAGGAAGATCCGTCCGGGGTGGGGGGGTGCTTGACAGTGCAGGAACACAGGATGGACCCACTGCTTTTGCTTAGGACACCCCCTCCCCCCTCCAGCCTTGTTTCAGCAATCCACTATAATTTGATAATTTACGCTGTCGGTTTCAGTTGGGCAGAAGCTAGGATTTTTCGGAGGTCTAGTGTAAGAAGAACTACCTCCTCCGGTGGTTTAGTCTCATTTTATTGCTCTAACTTCTATCCCGCATTTTAAGATGGCGGCTGCTTTAACTGGTTCGGGTTCTTTCCGACACCATCCCTTTTTCTAATAATAGGAAATAATGTTCTCTGTTAACGTTAACTGTTTTTTTTATATGGTTGTAGGGAGTTCTAAGGGTCTCTGCCTCCAAGACTTAACCTAAATTCAAACTCTTGAGACTGAATTTCTCTTCTAATTTGTGTGTGTGGTGTATTTGGTTCTTGCACAATCTAGAGGGTGGAGTATTTACAGCTAGCTAACTTGAAAAAAATGTGGAATAAACTCGGTCTTAATAGAAAAGACAAAATAGGAAGGTTCGGCTTTAGAGTCTGGATGGAAAGGCCAGGATCTCGATTGACTACAGTGGGTCTATCTGATGGTACTTTATTTGGCAAGACTGGAGTTTGATGAAAGTTAAAATCTTTACCAGAATATACTGAAGTTGAAATCTTAGGAAGTCACTGTTGTAATCATTGCAGTTTTATGGAAAACACCAACTGAACTGTTCATATTCTTGCTGGTATGCACCAGGAGAGCAAGAAAACCTTAGGATTCAAGACTTTGAATAATCACTTTAACTGACGATTTTGAATATGAATCTCACATTAGAGATGCATTGTTGTGCTTTGTAGCACACTTACACAGAGACCATAACATTTCAGTACTAATGAAAATAATTCAGACCCATAGCTTTTTATAAATGTAAAACACTTTAAAAGGACAGTCTTTCAGATTTATTTTACAGATGATACCCAGCTGCTCTGGCACCATTTTAATGATCTAAAAGCTCTAAAGGGGTAGTAATAGTTAAGTGTGAACATTTGTAGTAAAAACAGTTGCATTAGAACCAAGCTAAGCAACTTTATTCATGTGCCTAATCGATTTTTTTTCTAGATACTGGAATGACAATTGTGAGAAAGCAGATCTTTTAAGTTTGAAGAATTGTGTGTTGGTACTTAATATGTAAACTTTTCCTACATTAGAGAACTATTTATATGCCATATGACTGACTGATTCAGCCTGTAGAATATTTCTAACCTGTTTTCCCACCGATATATTGTCAGAATCATGAGGCTTCTTTTAAAATGGCACTCAGATGCAGGCATAGTTTTTGAAAGTTCAGAAAGAGGATGCCTTTTCTTTTCTTTTTTTTTTTTTTAAACATAATTTCTCTAAAAATAAAAGGGGCTGGTTAGCTGTTTTGTTTTTTAAATTGCTCCCTGTTTTGAATGTATTCTTCCTGATACACACACACACACACACAGTATTAACATGCCTGTAGTTCTCTGTGTGTTAAAATTCATATTATACCACTGTAAGCTTTAGTGATAACTTGGAGCAAGTTAATTGATCTTTTTAATCTATAAAGAAATTTTTTCTTAATATTTTTAACTATTACTTAAACCAAATAACCTTACACTTATTCTTCTGCTGTTTTTGTTATTTGGACCAAATTCTATGGTCCTGTTATTAAACAGGCATTTCAAAAGCAGAATTAAGTCTGGGAGCTTTTAAGAAGTTTTACTGTTCCAAAGCAAAATGACTGTTAACATATTTGGGGAACTTTTGAGAAACTTATATTCAAGATCTAGCATAAACCAAGCCCTTTTTTTATTTATTTATTTTTTCTTTTTGTATGCAACAATACAACATTCTGCCTCATGTATCTCTGCACACCAGAAGAGGGCACCAGATCTCATAAGGGATGGTTGTAAGCCACTATGTGGTTGCTGGGAATTGAACTCAGGACCTCTGGAAGAGCAGTCGGTGCTCTTAACCTCTGAGCCATCTCTCCAGCCCCCCCCCTTTTTTTTCATTCTAAAGTATTTGCAGTGTTTCATAACTTCTAATCAATAGTTTGTAAGTAATTTCCTTATGATAAATGTGGCAAAGTAGGTACAGTTGACGTCTTCACTATGAAGAATTAAGTCACTGTTAAGTTTAAAAAAGAAACTAAAAGACCATCCAGGTGTTGGTAATGTTAGGAGAGTTGGGACTAGAACCCGGGCCTTCTAATTGTAGATGTTCTGGTAGCCACTGCAGCTTTATACCATTGTTGAGATTTCTGTGGTAACTAAGACCTAGCATAGGCTCTTGGGTAGTAGGCCTCAAAACAGCCATGTGAGATACTCCATTTTATGGCTGAGGTAACAAGACACAGACTGACTTATGAGTTCAGTCACACAATTAGTAATAGGTTTCTAATATGATAGTTCATCTCCAAAAACACTAAAAAAGACTGTCTTTTCGACCATTTCAATTCCTACTAAATCAATGTGATTTTGTTTCTTGCTGAGATATGCTGTTTTGTACTTCATATAAAAATCAGACTAAAACTCGCATGTTAACAACTAATTTGTAAATTAAGACGGATATATTTAATTCTTAGTTTGTTACAGGCTAGAAACTGCTGTTAAGTGCTGGAATTCTCTTAAAAGTATACAAAGGATTGGTATAAGCTTTGTAGGCCCATAGGTTTGTCCTGTGGGGTGGTGGTGGGTTTTTTGTTTGCTTGTTTTGGTCCTCAAGGCTTATCTTTCATCATCATGTTTATTTGCTGTGTTAAATTCTGTGTTATGCACATAAAGGTTAAGGTTAAGCGCCTCTTGATACTCAAAATCAATTCTTGATTCTAAGTTTTGTTTTGTTTTTTTACTGGGTTCTTAAGAGGGTGCTGTTGGTGAGGGGGGAGCATTTTGTGTGGTGTGGAAGAGACTTTCCTAGTTTACCATGCTCTGGAGATTTGAGCTCAGAGGGTTTGCATCTAAGCAAGCACCTTTATATACTATGAGCCATCTTGCCAGCTGTAGCTTCCTAGTAATTGAGATAAAAATGTTTCAGCTTGAATTTTGAGGCAGGGTGTCACACAAAGGCTGGCCTCAAATGAGGCACTTCTGTCTACAGCCTCCTGAGTGCTGGATTATTACAGGATAGGACTATATGCCCAGCTCCTGATTGAGCTTTCATTTATCTAATTTATTTTTGAACTTTGCTTTTTGAGGGTGGGTTTGATTTTTATAGCATTGTCCTCAAACTTAGAGCAATCCTGTCTCTGCCTCCCTGCTGGGATTACAGGTGTGTGCCAGCGAACCCAGCTGCATTGTGAATATATATATTTTTATTTTATGTGCATTGTTGTTTTGACTATATGTATACATTTGTGGGGGTGTCAGATTTTGGAATTACAGACAGTTGCTAACTGCCATGTGGGTGCTGGGCATTGAACCCAAGTCCTCTGGAAGAGCAGCAGTCCGTTCTCTTAACCACTGAGCCATCTCTCTAGTCTCCATGAAGACTTATTTATCATCTATACAGTATTCTTCTTGCATGTACACTTTCATGCCAGAAAAGGTGCCAGATTTTATTATAGATGGGTGTGAGCCACCATGTGCTTGCTGGGAATTGAACTCAGGTCCTCTCTCTGGAAGAGCAGCCAGTGCTCTTAACCTCTGAGCCATCTCTCCAGCCCCACATTTGGTTTTTCGAGACAGGGTTTCTCTGTGGCTTTGAAGCCTGTCCTGGAACTAGTTCTTTTAGACCAGGCTGGTCTCAAACTCACAGAGATCCTCCTGCCTCTGCCTCCTGAGTGCTGGTATTAAAGGTGTGAGACACCACTGCCCACCTCATTGTGGTTCTTAATAGAAACCTTTTTCTATTGTTGTATGGAAGAGCTATTGTTTAAGTTTTCACATCACATTTTTATTTCAGAATATTCTGACTTTTTAAGTATGCACCAGTGTGAGATCTTACTAAGTCATCTCTAGAAATACTTCATAATTTTAAAACGTTCATTAAGGAGTTCCAAACTTGCTCTTAGTACTTAACTGGGGTTGTAATTGTATGTGTTACCACAGGATAAAAAAAGTCAGGAAGGCTGTTAGGAAAAAAAAAACAGGCATTAAGTAGATTCACGTTTTTATTATTTTGTATAACTTATTTTCAAGTTTATCACTTTGTATAATTATCAAAATTGTTTACTATTCTGTATCATAGAGGTTTTGGAACTTGCTACCATAGCAGTTATCTTAATTGAAAATTCAGTAATGTTGATGATTACATTTAATATCTTAATGTATAGTCAGATTGCCTTATAATATGTATTCTTAAAATTCCTTGGGCGGCCATGTG